TGCATATTAATTACCTAATTTGCATAATTAATTTTCAGCTTTTCTACTTATATCTAAAGTACTAATCATCACATTTCAATGAATCTAGAATTATGCAGAGACCCAATTAGTTTTTGGTAAATATTTGTGCATATTAATCACCTAATTTGCATAATTAACCAATTTCCAACTTTCACACTGATATCTCAGGTACTAATCATCACATATCAATGAATGTTTATACATGGATGCTGTAGGACAATAGACAGACCTGGATAATTGTGGGTTAAAATCTGTACATACTAATTACCCAATTTGCATAATTAACCAATTTTAAGCTTTCACACTGATATCTAAAGTACTAATTTCCATTTTAATGAAACTTAGTACAAAGATGGTCTAGGACAATGTACAAACCTAATTAGTTTGGGGTAAAACTCTGTTCATATTATTTCCTTAATTAGCATAATAATTCATAATTTTTTTGGTTCTAATCACATTTCAATTAAACTTGGTACATAGAGTTTTTGTTACATTGCGCAGACCTCATTAGTTTTATAATCAAATCTGTTCATGTTAATTTTCTGATTTGCATAATTAGTTTTCAGCTAAGTAATTTCAAATTATATTTAATGTGTCTCCAATACTCTCAGCACATGGGAGTTCTTTCTAAGCTTTTTTTGATTTCCTATTGTTCTTTGATAATTTTACCAAAATATATAAAAAAAAAACCATCTACATTCTTCTTGAAGTTGAATTGTTTTGGACTGGCAGTTCCTGGCTAATAGCCTGTAAGCGAGAGACCCATATCAAGCACTGCATGGTACAACAAAATGGTTTTGTCACTGGAGTACATCTTGAAATGTTAATCATGTGATGATAATGATAGCAAGATTACAATAGAAGTTGAACAGTGAACAGTATCTCTATTTAAAATAGATTTTAGATAATGACAGAAATCATGCAGTGTACTGCAAGTCCCAGTGTGGTGTTGCACACAAAGTCTATGCTTACTGCTAGACTAGTATAAATCTGGTTATGTAACTACCGGGGTAGTTATGCTTATGTGTCATTGACACAGCAGAAAATCATTCATTGATATACAGTGTAGTGATCTCAGATTCAATTGTTTTAAAATTAGCATAGGACAATTAACCAAAATTGCAACTAGCGTCATTGGACATTTCCAATTATTTGCCATATTTTGGTGTAAAATAGTAAATTAAACTGAAACTACTTAGGCCTTAAGACCTCCCGAGCAAGTCAAGAAGCTATCCCAGCTATTGGTATTCCATTTTAACTTTTGTGTACAAAACCAGTCATGTTAAAGGGAACACTTGCTGGTTTTTGTTGATACATGTACCGATAATCATTCACCTCTTTGGACATTGGTGGCATTATTATGATAATTGGCTTATGTACATAACTGTGATTCTGGTTTCAATGCTTGAATGCTGCTTATATGCAAATGTCTCCAGTATCGTTCTGTGGCTGACAATAATATGTTGTGTTTAAATTCACAGATGCCGTGCCAGCGTTGACTTCTCATTAAACTCAGCATGGTTGATTGATTCGTACATGGGGAATGGACCACTGACTAAATCGCGTAAGCAAAGTAGGGCAGCCAAGCTTCGGAAGATGATCATTTCAGAAGAACTCAGGCCGAAAATTCCAAAGAAAGACACCAATTTACCCAGTCCAACTAGTCCCCTATCTCCGACAAAGAAAACTCATCGGAGGTCATGCTCTGATGCCTCAGCAGGTATGATATACATGGTCAAAACCGACTTTCTAATCAACATTCACTTTTGTTCTATTTTGGTTATTTCCATTCACTGTCAGTGGGCTCAGAAATTACCTTTTAAGGGGAGCAATTCACTCATGCAAAATGGAACACATGCACTGTGTAGCAAAATTATGAAATCACTCCTATAACTCGTCTCATTGCTTTTAAGAGAGCTATTTGTCACTCTCTCAGCCAAAATGCAAGGCCTATGAACTTGAACTTTTGGAATTTAGAGTGCACTCATTTTCTAGGTAAAAATGTATAAAATGACGTTAGCATATATATGAATACATGAAACAGAGAATATCAAAGGGAACCAAGGTGGGCATCATGGCAATGACCTTTGATACATGTACCTCCATGAGATTCAAATTCTTTTGATACAGGTTAGAGACACAAAATCTACACATGATTACATTTCAATCAGTACACCCATGTTTTTGAGCTTGTGTATTGTTTTCAGCATTTCCCTCACTGAACTCTAGGTGGTGCTATATAATGTAGATTCTGTTTGCATAAATCCATTCCATTACCATCAATGTTTAGCTAGACTTTATTTGTAATGGTAAATGTTGATCTGGGAAGAGGAATGGGGTGGGGGGGGGGGGGGTGTGTTGGCTTGCTTATTGGTTGTCTATTGGCAAAAATGTATTTAGGGAAGAGTAGGAAATCAAACGGGCGGTGCACCGCGGTCATTACCGCGGTGTACCGCAGAACGCCGGGGAGAGCCGCGGACTGCTTATAATTAGGGGTCTCTACCGCGGTCCTCGGTAATGTGTGAAATACGTACTTAACAGTTTCTTTGTGATTCCACGAGTCATTGTTTTAAAATCCGATGCTGTAAATGAATACGATATGTGCGCTTGTTTAGTATTTAGTACATGTATTTAGCGTAAATTTCCAAAGTGATGCGATACAATTTTTCATGGTACATGTAGGTATACCTTTATTACACTGGAATAAAGTCTACAATTGAAAAGAGGACGATTTACAAAGTTTCAGCGTATCCAAGCCGTATCCTGGTTCTTGATTGATTTGGCAGTATCATGTTCACCATTTGTGTCACACTACAGAAAAAATGGCCAGCAAACGAGAAACGGGCGAACTAATCAAAACAGGTCAGGCTGTCTGCATTGCACTGACAATGACATGATTATTTTCTGTTTCCAGGGTTCGTACGCAGCCTTGAATTCCTGGAATATACTGGAATTTCGAAAATCACTTTTCCAGGCCTTAAAAAGCCTTGAAATTTTGCTTTTTTATTTAAAATCCTGGAAAAACCTTGAATTTCACTATTTTTCATTTATTATTGGCCACTCTCCA